ATCTCTGTTACTTTCTCTCTATCTAATTCTCACTCTATCTATCTTTTTCTCTCTATGTCACTCTCGCTTTATCAATCTCTCTATCTCTCATTCTCGCTCTATCTATCGGTTTCTCTCTATGTCACTCTCTCGCTCTATCTGTATCTCCCTCACATTCCCTCTATCTCATATTCGCTCTATCTACCTCTTTCTCTCTAACACTCTCGCTCAATCTTTCTATGTCACTCTCTCGCTTTATCTATATCTCTATCCCTCGCACTTTATCTCTATCTCACTCTCGCTCTAGCTATCTCTCTAATTCTTACTTTCTATCTATCTATCTATCTATCTATCTATCTATCTATCTATCTATCTATCTCGTTTGCGCATTATCTATCTCTTTCTCCCTATCTCACTCTCTCGCTTTATATATCTCTCTATCACTCTCGCTTTCTCGCTATCTCACTCTTGCTCTACCTAGCTCTCTAATTCTTACTTTCTATCTATCTATCTATCCCTCGCAGTCTCCTAGTCTCTCTCTCTCTCTCTCTCTATATATATATATATATATATATATCAGTTTGTTCCTATCTATCATCTATCTATCTATCTATCTATCTATCTATTTTCCCTCTATCTGAGCATCTATCCTCCTTCCTATCTCTTTCCTTCTGATTCCCTTCTGATTCCTCTATCTATTTTATCTATCTATCTATCTATCTGTTCATCTATCTATCTATCTATCTATTCATCTATCTATCGCAGTCTGTTCCTATCTATCTATCTATCTATCTATCTCAATCTATCTATCTCGTTTTCCTATATCTATATCTTTCTCTCTTTCTCACACTCACTCTATCAATCTGTGCGTGTGTGTGTGTGTGTAAGTATTGTGTAGCAGCGGCAATCGGTGACAAAAACATTGTGACAAATAGCGATGAAAGGTGTTTCGTGGAAACAGTTGGAAGTTGTTTATTTTTTTCATATTTTAAGACACGTTCTATGAAATCGATAATTTGACTTGGTCACGTCGACTAAATTTCGACATGTTACGCTTCTGCCCAAAGAGCTGAACATTCAAATTCTCCTCATCTCGATTTTCGACTCGTTTTGATCTAGGTTAAAAATTTACCACTGTCTGTAACTAAAAATGCAGATGCTTTAAGGAATATCGTTTCAGTAATGAGAAATTAGAAGGCTGTGTTCGAATTCAAGTCGGGTTCGTTACATACACTTATGCCCGAGTAACCTTGGGAAAGGTATTGATCCATCTCTTCTCCCTGCATTGATGGGTTGAATAGCAGGGCTGACGGGGTTCTATAGCCTTAGTTGGCAACCAGTCTACCGCAGAAAGAATTGACAACTTACTGCGGAAGCATCTTCTGCCTAGTCAGTCATGAATCGAGACATGATCGCCTAAGCATGTATCTCGTATGATACTTGACTGCTGACCTGAGATGAAACAAATACATTGAGTCAATTGCTTTGTCCACCGCAAGGAAAGTTGGCTCCCTGTGCCGCGCCAGGAAATTTTTCTCCCCGGAATCGATCCTCCAGATCAACAAATCAACCATTTGCCCTTGCATGGGGTATTGCTGCCATATATGGTCTGGATCCTCTTCTGTTTGCCTCGGGGTTCTTGATAGGCTCCAGAGGCGGATATGCAATATAATTGGCCCTGTTCTGGCATCTCGTCTACAGTCACTTTCTCACAGACGCGCCGTCGCCTCTCTCTGTCTGTTTTACAAATACTTTCATGGTAATTGCTCCGAGGAGCTGCATTCGCTGGTTCCAAGACTTCATGAGTTCAAATGCCCTACGAGGCTGGCATCCCACTCTCACCCCTTCACTGTCGAAACTCCTAAATGTAGCCGTCTCTTCTACTCCAATAGCTTCATGTCTCGCACCTCTCGCCTGTGGAACTCCCTTCCCTATTCCATTTTCCCTGAGAGCTATAATCTTCAACTATTCAAATGTAATGTCAATCGACATCTCCAGTTGCCTTGATCTATCCACTATCCTTCTCCTCATCCTTTCCTCTATCACTCCTATCTGATCTTGCTCCAAATCTTCTGTAACCCCTTGCGTCCTAGTATCTTCTCGCCTTGCTTGGGGTGAAACGCTTAAAAAAAAAAAATTGAATGACATTAACTCTTCTCCCCTCAGCTATGGGTTAAAGAGAGGGACTGACTGGACCCTATAGCCTTGGTTTGAAACTAACCTTCCGCAGAATGAAACGGCATCGTATTGAGTGAAAAATCTTCTGCCGATTTCGATTTCAGAACATTCTACCCCAGTGAGCGAAATAAAGGACTCAGTTCGACATTCCAACCACCTGAAGAAGGCCGGAGCGTACAACGGCCGAAACGTTGTGATAAATATGGCAACAAAGATGAGCATGATAATCCGAACAATGTAAATAGTGTACATAATACCTCATCTCAGAAATATAGACAGATACTGAAGATGTCCTGTCCGTACAACGGCCGAAACGTTGTAATAAATATGGTGACAAAGATGAGGATAATAGCCCAAATAATGTAAATAGTATAGCCTTTCCACTTAATATGAAGAGAGTAAGATATCCGGAGAAGGGGTAACGTGTCTCTTTCTTGGAGGTTAGCTAAAGGTAGAAATGGGTCCCGGATGATTAATAATGAGCAGTTTAGTTTTGGAGGCGTTAAAATCAACAAGCTATCCTCTGCCCCAGTTAACAACAGACTGAAGATCGTTTTTTACGTCAGCCGCCAATTTGACGTTACCAGACTGAAATAATCATTGGGGCTAGTTTTTAAATTGTTGTTTAATTCAACACCCTTGTGTCTCAGTGGCTTTATTGCGTTGCATGATGTGATACCCGATGAAAAATTCTTTTAAATTCTAGAAGCGTGTCCGTTCAGGATAATTTTCATTTCACGATTTGATATTTAAGGAATGCCCAATCTATTTCGTTGGGACACGCCAAAAGGAAATGGGACATGAAAAGGAAGCTGTGAAGAGTCATGATCACCTACGTCTTGGAGGGACGTGACATGAATGAAAAAATTTGATTTTGTAAGACTTGTTTTAATGGCTGCTTCTATTTACTTTTTTACCTGCCAATATCTAACGATCTCTCTTTTTTCTTTCATTTCAGGTAAGTGTGCAATAATTACGGCTCTCAGGTGAAGTACAACAACCTTTTATATTCTTCAATTTCATGTATTTTGCAAGGGTCGGGGCCAAGCTAATATCTGGATTCGGCCATTTTTTGGGACACATTTTAAAAAAAATTCTTCTTGCTTCATCAATCAAAGTTAAGAAAGATGTCTTCCTTACACCTGGTGCTGATTCTCCACCAGACTATGATATCCCTGTTCATAAATCGAGATGCAAAGCACATCAACCCCGAGAGACATACCCAAATGGTTTAGTGCATCCCATCTTAATTCACCAAGAAAAAACATGTACAGGTTAACACTGAGAATGTAACAGTCTGTTGTCAAAAGCCAGTTCCGTCCTGGGTATGACGATAAACTACGTCCTCGTCGTGGGTAAGACGATAAACTACGTCCAGCAGCAAGGCCTCTGATCAGGAGGTTTTTAGGAGCATAAAAACACCTCTTAATTGCTGGTGTTCCCAGGTACATCCTGACACGGGGTGGTAGTACCTGTTAGGGTCCCAGCTATGGGAAAATAGTTAACCCCAAAACACTATGAAAGTGTAAAAATAGGTTTTAATACCAGAAATACTTTGTAAAATATTATTATCAGCAATAAAATTTTGGAAAAAAATATTACAAGCAATAAAAATCTTGTCGGTATTAAATAACCCATTGAGGTTGATATACCGTAGAACAAAACAAACCAAACCTTACAAAGAATATATATTCTATTCATAGTAATCTATTCTAAAAATCCTGTCGGCATTAAATAACCCATTGAGGTTGATATGCCGTAAAACAAAACAAACCAAACCAAAAGCCAGTCGAACTGAACCCTTTATTTCGCTCACTGGGGTAGATTGTTCTAGATTCCACGTGTCATATCAGTTATCAGTTATCTCCTGTCAATTCCCCACTCCAAGTTCTCCACTGCCTTAACCGGGTATTGAACTATTTTGGTCCTGTCACTAGATCTAGCTAACACCTTTATCCACTGTGCTATGAGACCTTGAGGACACATGGTCAGTGAATAAAGCACATCCATTAGACATGGCCTGTGGAACTAGAACAGTCTATCCAGTGAGAGAAATAAAGGGTTCAGTTTAACACTCCAACCACCTGAAGAAGGCCGGATCATAAAACGGCCGAAACGTTGTAATAAATATGGCCACAAAAATGAGGACAATAGTCTGAATAATGTAAATAGTGTACATAATACCTCATCTCAGAAATATTGACAGATACTGAAAGGCCGAAACGTTGTAATAAATATGGCAACAAAGATGAGAACAATAGACCGAATAATGTAAATAGTGTACATAAATACCACATCTCAGAAATATAGACAGATACTAAAGAAGACCTGACCGTACAACGGCCAAAACGTTGTGATAAATATGGCAACAAAGATGAGGACAATAGTCCGAATAATGTAAATAATCTACATAATAACTCATCTCAGAAATATAGACAGATACTGAAAATGTAGGGTGTTGTTCTCCTGCAGTTTAGTGTCAGCCATTCTGATAGCAGACAGAAAAAGTGATTAAATGAAAGCTGTTTTGTTTTGGAAGCGTTATTGTTAATGTCGTTGTTGCTGTTGTTTTCTATATTAAATCCATTTCTTTGGTTATATATAGAAACATTTAAGACTTTTACTAATGCCTTAATTGAAGACGGTCTTTTAGTTGAATACTGAAAACTAGTATTTTTCGTAAAACCTTCTCTTACTAGTATTAATATTAATATTTGTTCCGGGATTTTTAAATACTTGAATAGACGCAAAACAAGGCCAAAGAGCCACTCAAAATATTATTATTATTATTATTATTATTATTATTATTATTTCTGCAACACGTGTTAACATAATGGGGTGATTGCTGATCATAAACTTCTCTGGGATTTTATTAGTTCGCCAAAACGATTAATGACAGGGTAATTACATCAGATTTACAAAGAACCGTTCCATTAATCCGTCTTTCTAATTAATCAAATTACGGAAGTTATTATTATTATTACCTTTATTTCCTTTGATTTCTGGCGTTTACACATTTCTTTCCGGGTCCCGCCCAGGGACCTAAGGTTAGAAATGGCATCATGACACTTTCCACTGACAAAAAAAAAAAAAAAATACATAGATAAAGCCATTCGTAAAGTGTGGGCTGTACTTGTCAGAACATTTTTTTGTATTTCTTTGAGGCATGGACTTCCAGGAATCCCTTCAATTAGTCTACTGGAGTCTTTTCCAACCAATCCGAGGGCTCCAACTACAACAGGGATTGTTGATGTTCCCATATGCCACATTTTGGAGATTTCTATTTCTAGGTCCTTGTATTTTGACAGCTTTTTGAATATCTTCAAAAATACATTGCAGTCTGCAGGGACTGCCATATCAATAAAGAGGCACTTTTTATTTTTATTTTTATTATTATTATTCAATATGCATAGATTCAACTTGGCCATTCAGTTAGATAGCGAACATTCTAGAATCTATCGTAAAACATTTATTATAATCATTTTTATTATTTCCTTTGATTTCTGTTGTACCCATTTACATCCGTGTTCCAACCAGTGACCTAGGATCAGAAATGGCATCATGACATTTTCACTGAGTATTTTTGGGAATAAAAAAAAGATTAGAAATGCGGCAACCTGAGGCCGCGCAAACTTTACATAGATAAAGGCATTAGTATGATGTAAACTGTACTTGTGTCATGAGCTACCAGAAATCCTTTCACTGAGTCTATCGGAACCTTTTCCAATCAATCTGAGGGCTCCAACTACAAGAACTGTTGATGGCACATTTTCAGTTCAAGGTCTTTGTGGTTTTAAAGTTTTTTGAAGATCATCAACGATATATTACAATCTACAAAGATTGGCATATCAATAAGAAAGTACACTTTTTTTGTGGTATTTGATTACAGATTCTGGCTGATGAGCTTTGATTGTTCTATCTGTGTGTATTGCAAAACCCCATAAAATTATTACAGGTCCCATGTCTGTAACCGGTAACCTGTAATGGTGTTCATAACAGTTTCGTTTCCGTAAAAGTTACCGATTTTCCAGTGCAAATATTGGCCGACTCTATCATGCCGGGTTTTATATGCAGTGGATGCCAATACCGTGCATCAGCTATGACACTTACATAGTAACAAACTACTCACATTCCTCGTCGAGAATTAAGTTCCACTCGAACAGCTTCCCGCGAACCTCTTGCCTGTGGAATAGACTCCCAAGAGGATGCTTCCCCAATCACTATAATCTTAACCTGTTCAAGTCTAGAGTTAACCGCCATCTTCCACTTCTATATATATAAACTATTCCTTATCGTAACCCTCTACAACGAGTGGTTCCTGGGCTTTTAAAGGGTGAACCATCAGCAAAAGTGTATATATATATATATATATATATATATATATATATATATATATATAGGCAGGATGTGTGTGTGTGTGTGTGTGTGTAACGAATGCACGGCCGCAATTTTCGATGGATTTGTACCAAAATTTACATGCACATGATCCAAGTTATCAGGAAGGCCAAGACCGACATTGCATTTCCCAACTCCCATCGATAGTGGAAATAATGGATTTTTTCATGCTTCTACGGCAGTTTTCATGTAGTTTGCGGCCATTTTCTACTGCCCAGAGTGAGAGCCAATAGCTGGCTGCCACGAATAGGCAGGAAGATTCTATTGGACAGCGTGAGAGCCAACAGCTGACTGATACGAATGTTATATAGCACGCTAGCATGCAAAAATATCGATAGCTTCATTCGTCACAAGTGGGAAAAATTTAAGTCTGCATGGCACTTTACTCCAATTGGCTCATTCGCTTGCTTAAACTCAACGTTGATTCTGATTCCGCAGAACTGGGTTGGGTGTGAAAAAGTATTTGTTGTTAACATTCTTTTTTCATTCGGTTTTTCCAGTTACGACTCCTTTTTTAAAGCTGATCGTTTTGTGTTCATTTTGTTTAGAAGAAGAGTATTCATACCTTTCCCAAGGGCATTAGCACGTAAGTAAAAGTAATGGATTCGACTAGAATTCGAACTCGGCTCTCCGATTCCTCAATCCAACCATATATATATATATATATATATATATATATATAATTATTTATTTTTTATAAAAAAAAAATTTAACATCAATATGTTATAAAATCACTACAAAATCAGCTATTATTTTGTTTCAACACCCTCAGTGTCTTATCAAGTGATGATGTTGAAGATAAAATAAATGGTTTTAAAAGTTTCAAATTAATTAACGATCCTTCGCAAGGGGAAAACGTTGTTACAAAAGCTAGAATGACCAATCAAAATACAAGTATAGGAAATTCAAAAAGCTTGACAACGAAATCATGTTATAATAGCTATTCAGATCTTTAAAATACGGTTAATTTTAAAAAAGAATTTATTCTAAGCAATAATTATTAAATTATATGATAAAATTTGATATTAAAATTAAAAACTGCCAATTTAAAATCCAAATTTCATCACTATTAAGTTTAAAAACCATAAAATTACTGAGGGAAAAGAAAAAATACATATGTTATTCAATTTATTTCTTCGTTGAAATTATATATATATATATATATATATATATATATATATATATATATTTTTGAGTGTTCTGCATATATATATATATATATATATATATATATATATATATATATATATATATATAGCTTTGAGTATTCTGTATATATATTCATTCTCTCGACCGCGTCTGTCATGTCCGGTACGCCTCCCTGGTGGCCATCTCTCAACTCCTGCAGAAACTAAATTTGATTGATGACTGAAAGTTTTTTTGTTTTTTTATATACTTCAGGGACGCTTCCTCTTATAAGTGCAGCCATCTCTCTCTCTCTCTCTCTCTCTCTTTTCTCTTTGTTTTAACTTTCTTTCTATGTCCTCCCTCTCTCGATTTAACCACTCCTCGTCGTCTTCTCAACTCTGCCGCGTTTTTTGTACGTCTCGATGCAGCTGCTGCTTCAACCACCCATACACCTGCTTCTTAGTTTATTTTGGGCTTTAGGTTTTATTCCCCGTTATGGATTGGTTGAAATCTCATTTCATATGTCTTCCACTCTGTTTTGCTTCAAGACGCCTAAATGCATTGTAGACATACACACACGCGCGCACACACGTGCGTGCGCGCTCACGTACACACATGCATACACACGTATACACACACACAAATACATCAACACATAGACACACACACATAAAACATACACACTCGTACACACATGCGCACACATATACAGTCACATACATACACATACACACTTTCACATACATACACATTCACGCATGCACACACTTACACACATACATACAGATGCACACACATAAACACAGACATACACAAGAGCACACGCATATAGACACATACACACGGTTACACACACAAGCATAGAAACGTACATATACATACATAGACGTACACCCACATATACATGCACATACATACACACACGCACATGCACACACATACCCACCTGCACTCATATATACACAGACAAACAGGCAGGGACATATGAATAAATAAATTCACGATTTATTATTTAGAAAATATTTCAAGCTCTTAACTTAGCAATCACAAATAAGCTCTTAGCATTCACAAATACGCACTTAACTTAGCAGTCACAAATAAGCCTTTAATTCAGCAGTTCTTAGCATTCATAAATAGGCTCTGAGCAGTCACAAATAAGCTCTCAACTTAGCAGTCACAAATAGAATTAGAATTTATAAATAGGCCCTTAACTTAATAACAAATAAGCTTTTAATTTAGCAATCATGAATAAGCACTTAGACTTCATAAATAAGCTCTTAGCCTTCAAAAATACGCTATCAACTTATTCATAAATAGGCCCTTAACTTAGCAGTCACAAATAAGCTTTTAATTTAGCAATCATAAATAAGCACTTAGACTTCATAAATAAGCTCTTAGCCATCAAAAATACGCTCTCAACTTATTCATAAATAGGCTCTTAACTTAGCAGTCACAAATAAGCTTTTAATTTGGCAATCATAAATAACCACTTAGACTTCATAAATAAGCTCTTAGCCATCAAAAATTCGCTCTCAACTTATTCATAAATAGTCCCTTAACTTAGCAGTCACAAATAAGCTTTTAATTTAGCAATCATAAATAAGCCCTTAGACTTCATAAATAAGCTCTTAGCCATCAAAAATACGCTCTCAACTTATTCATAAATAGGCCCTTAACTTAGCAGTCACAAATAAGCTTTTAATTTAGCAATCATAAATAAGCCCTTAGACTTCATAAATAAGCTCTTAGCCATCAAAAATACGCTCTCAACTTATTCATAAATAGGCTCTTAACTTAGCAGTCACAAATAAGCTTTTAATTTAGCAATCATAAATAAGCACTTAGAATTCATAAATAAGCTCTTAGCCATCAAAAATTCGCTCTCAACTTATTCATAAATAGGCTCTTAACTTAGCAGTCACAAATAAGCCTTGAATTCAGCAGTTCTTAGCATTCATAAATAGGCTCTGAGCAGTCACAAATAAGCTCTCAACTTAGCAGTCACAAATAGCACTTACAATTCATAAATAGCTCTTAACTTAGCAATCACGAATAAGCACCGAGCATTCATAAATAGGCCCCTAACTTAGCAGTCACAAATAAGCTTTTAATTTAGCAATCATAAATAAGCACTTAGAATTCATAAATAAGCTCAGCCATCAAAAATACGCTCTCAACTTAGCCGGCACAAATAAACTCTCAACCTATCAGTCACAAATAAACTCCTAGGATTCATAAATAAGCTCTTAACTTAGCAGTCACAAATAGTGTGAGAAGCGTGGAATCACCTTTTCATTGCTGTAGTTATCAGGTCTACTTGGACCCCGGTTGGTAGCACCTGATAAATTAGGTAGACGATGCCACTGGAGGCCGTCGATAGCTGTGCTAGCACGAAGCCACAAGTCATCATGGTTGAGGGTGTAAGCGTTCTGCCCTTGTTCAAATTGTTGACCAACTCAGACGATTGCGTCTAGTATGAAACAACATGTCGCCTCTGAGTGTTGACTTCAATGTTCACTTATATATATATATATATATATATAAATGTAACGAGAACGAAAATAATATAAATTCAAACGGTCATAGCATTAATTTAAAAGAGGGCTCAATACCAAGTGTAGAGCAATAGCAACCATCTTTGTTCCTCGCCTGTCGAGATGCATTCGCATCGAAACAAAAATGCATCTTTGTAGCGAGCACTTGTTTGTCCGTATGCAACATCTTTACAAGAAATAAATAAACAAATATATATATATATATATATATATATATATATATAGTGTGTGTGTGTGTATTTAGGCAGCATTCTTTCATTTATACATGTTTCATTAAATAATATAGAGAAGTGTATAATGATAATGTTATTAAGCTTATCAGACGTTATGAAAAGAATTCACATAAAATAAATAACACTTGTCTATATTATTTAATGAAACATGTATGAATATATATATATATATATATATATATATATATATATATATATATATATATATATATATATATATATCATTGTTATTTTATTTACCTATACTCAGACGGTGTGTAAAAAAAACAGATAATACAATCTGTAAATAAAAAATATTAGCCAAACTGATATCAGGAAAAAAAAAAGAAAAGACTAAAATATTCAACCAGCAACGCAATGTCTGGCCAAAGGAAAGAAAACCCCGACAGAGTAACCTAAGTTGAAACGGAAAAGTGCTTAATACACTAAGTAGAACAAAAACTAGAAAACCTAAAGATTCAGAACCTATTAACCTAGGTTTCACCTAACGGATCATCAGGAGAACCCTGGGTAATGAGGGTTGGCCCAAACGACATTTTATTTCAATCAAATCTCGTTTGGGCCAACTCTCAGTTTTGTTTTTGTTTCAATGCTAATTTTTTTCTCTTTCTGGTAGCCGATTTTTCTTTCTTTCTTGCTACCTATCGATTTTTAAAACCATAAAAAATAAATATACATATTATCCCTCACTGCTAACATGACTCGGAGTTTCATGTGCAGCGCAATCTTCAGGTACTGAGTATAGAAGATTGTGTTGTGCATGAAATTCCGAATCGTGCTCGCAGTGAGAGGACCTGTAAACTATTGACCAATGACACGTCTTCCTCGCCTTCATCAGTCCTTTTCGTAATTACTGATATATCAATTAATATTAATACTTATATCTCTGTCGTTTCGCCTCAACGCAAACACTTGTTTCTTCTGTTGTACTTCAAGTTCTACTTCAAGCTATTTTCCAAGACCACCTTTTCACCACTTTCTTCTATCTATCTATCTATCTATCTATCTATCTATCTATCACAGTCTATTCTTATATCTATCTATTTATCTATCTCAGTCTTTACTTATGTCTGTCTATCTATCGCAGCCTATTCTTCTATCTATCTATCTATCGCAGCCTATTCTTCTATCTATCTATCGCAGCCTATTATTCTATCTATCTATCTATCTATCTCAGTCTATTCTTATATCTATGTATCAATCTATTCTTATATCTATCTATCTTCTATCTATCTCAGTCTATACTTATATCTATCTACTTATCTATCTATCTATCTATCTATCTATCTCAATCTATTCTTATATCTATTTATATATCAGTCTATCTAAGTCTATTCTTATATCTATCTATGTATCTCAGTCTATACTTATATCTATCTACTTATCTATCTATCTATCTATCTATCTATCAATCTATCTCAATCTATTCTTATATCTATTTATATATCAGTCTATCTAAGTCTATTCTTATATCTATCTATCTATCTATCTATCTATCTATCTATCAATCTATCTCAATCTATTCTTATATCTATCTATATATCAGTCTATCTTAGTCTATTCTTATATCTATCTATGTATCAATCTATCTATCTATCAAACTATCTATCTATCTTAGTCTATTCTTTTATCTCTCTATCTACCTACCTATCTATCTATCTCAGTCTATTCTTATATCTATCTACCTATCTATCTCAGTCTATTCTTATATCTATCTATCTATCTATCTATCTCAGTCTTTTCTTATATCTATCTATCTCTAAATTTTTCAACCAAACTTCGTTCATTATTCACCTACTTCTACACATCATTATTTTCTTCAGATCTTTGTTCAATAACGACTCACCGTTTCCCTTCCTTTCTCTTGTCCTTTACACTTCAGATGATTCGCGCCAGCGGACCTTACCGACCACAGCCCCATGTTTTTTTTTTATTCCCAAATGTTGTCCCATTCCACCTCCATCATAAACCTTTTCTCTCCTTCCTTTCATCTATCTCTAGCCCTTCAGATATCGAACTGATCGATCGATGATTGATACAGATTCGTAGCCCTCAGCTGATAAAGTCCATGCATTGCCAAAAAAAGAAAGAAAGTAAAAGAGAAAAAGAAAAGAAAATAATTGAACTCTAACCCCTTCTCAGTACAGTGCAAACTCCTTAAGAGGTTTTCATTTAGACCACGAAGCATTCCAACGAAAAGTTTTCGATTTGATTTGAGTGAAAGTACACGAACTATTTTCAGTGAACCAATAAAATTCTCTATCGGATTTCTTGCGATCTTAAAACTTGCTTATAAACGCAAAGGATAATGCATGCAGCTAAAAGCAAGTTTGTCTTTCTCTAAGAGCGATTTGCACGTTTCGGCAGTTATTCTCACTAACAATACGCTTATGACTGAAGTTGGTTGTGTGTGCATATTTATTGACAATATTCTTCTATCTATCTATCCATCTATCTATTTAAATGCCTATAATTGGTAACAGAAGCCATTGGTTTATACCAACGGCTTCCCATACTTAATACTTCTCGTTTTCACTCTCGCGTGGTCATGTGTGACGACATGAACTGCGGTGCGATTCTCGCTTCCAGTGTCTCGTATGCACGAAGTTCGTCGTTGCTTGGAAATCATCCATGTAAACAGAAACAGACTATCATCACTGTCTTGTCCGTGTATTGCTTAATATATTGTAATGTAATTGTCATCTTTGATAATGGCTTATGTAAGCCGAAAGCTTAGATGGGATTAAAAAATATGTATCAATATTGTGATTTTCTTTCTTCGTTTAATGACAAAGGACAGTTTTGTAGACGCTGAAGATAGTTGTCCTGAAAAGGACAGCTTTGTAGTCGTTGAGAACAGTTTATCGCAATTCGTTGCTGCTGGCGAGGATGGCGGCAGAGGCATGTTTGAATAAACATGCTGCTTTCAACAGATACTCCACTTTTATCCTAGGCATCTTTATCTGGATTGATTTTGTCAATTTTTGAAGCCATTTTATATCCTGAATCATGAATTTAAAGAGGGTAAAAAGACACTACTTGATTCCAGTGATAAAAAGAAAGAAAGAAAGAAAGAAAAAAGAACGAAAGAACAACAGAAAGAAAGGAAGGAAGGAAGGAAGGAAGGAAGGAAGGAAGGAAGGAAGGAAGGAACAAAAGAAAGAAAGAAAGAAAGGAAGGAAGGAAGGAAGGAAGGAAAAGAACAAAAGAAAGAAAAGAAAGAAAGAAAGAAAGAAAGAAAGAATAATATATTTGCGGCAGGGATCGTATTAGATGTATACATGAAAGAAGCTTTGGAGTAAAATTCTTTAAAAAATGAAAATACTTTTGATACATTTTAAAATATAATGATATCAATAATATGTAATAATAATAATAATAATAATGATAATGAAATCGAAATCTCAAAAATATGGCACATGGGAACATCAACAATCCCCGTTGTAGTTGGAGCCCTCCAATTGTTCAGAAAAGATTCCAGCAGACTAATTTAAAGAATCCCTGGAACCCCATGTCTTAAAGAAATACAAAAAAATTGTTCTCACGAGTATAACCCACACCTTACGAAGGGCTTTGTCTATGTAATTTTTTCTTCCAGTGGAAAATCTCATGATGCCATTTCTAACCTTAGGTCCCTGGGCGGGACGCGAAAAGAAATGAGTACACATCAGAAATCAAAGGAAATAAAATAATAATAATAATAATAATAATAATGTTGATAATAATAATAATAATATTCTTCGATTCCAGTGTCTCGTATGCGCGAAGTTCGTCGTTGCTTGGAAATCATCCATGTAAACAGAAACAGACTATCATCACTGTCTTGTCCGTGTATTGCTTAATATATCTTATATCTTAGGTCCCAGGGTTGGACGCGGAAAGAAATGAGTACACATCAGAAATCAAAGTAAATAAAATAATAATAATAATAATAATAATATTAATAATAATAATAATATTGATAATAATAATAATAATAATAATAATAATAATAATAATTTTATAAATAGAAAGACTCCTAAAAATTTCACGGATTTCCTATTTTTAATATTCTGATGAATCATCACTGAAAAGGAATGGTCTATAATTTACGTAAGTATTTTCGTTTTTACAGGCTTTTCCTTCAAATCATATTTCACGAACACATCTAAAATCTCAAAGATACTATTAATATTATGAACAGATATTTAAGAAATTTACTGTTGCCCTTAAAAGACCTGCTCTAAGATTGTATATATTTCTCTGAGATGCGTAGACAGAAGTGGGGGGACACTATTCTGATATGATTTATCGATAATGAATTTCCTAGATATTTATGATAGCAATTTAAAACAAAGTTTTCGATCGATTCATCGATTAGCTGAAAAACGACATTCACAAATGATTTGCGAATCGTTTTTCTCACCTGCAACTTATCAAACGGCATTCACATCTTCATTTTATAGCTGCAAATGGCCCAGTGCCAAATTCGGAAGACGCACTTATGATGAGCGTGTTTTATTAGTCTGCCGAACGAAGAAAGCCGACCTGACTGTCTTGAAAGACAGACATTTTAAATACAGTTCTTCCTCGATTATCCGGACAGCTTTGGAACAGCGGTTGAAAAACAGGTTCGCAGAGTTCAAAATTTCCGAAGAATTGAATATTTAAAATATCGAAAACGAATGAAGAAAAAAATGCATCGTCTTTTTTTTAAGCATTTCATTTGGTAACCCTTGCGTCTTAGTGGCTTTATTGCCTTGCTTTGGCTGAAATGATAAAAGCTATGTTCATCTGTGATCTACTTGAACATGTATCAATTCGAGACTTTGGAATAAATAATTATTTTTTAAGCATTTCACCCCAAGCAAGGCAGGACTGCCACTATCAAGCAGGGTGTTACAGAGATTGAGAGTAAATAGTGTACATAATACCTCATCTCAGAAATATAGACAGATACTGAAGAAGGCCTGACCGTACAACGGCCGAAACGTTGTAACAAATATGGCGACAAAGATGAGGACAATAGTCCAAATAATGTAAATAGTGCACATAATACCTCATCTCAGAAATATAGACAGATACTGAAGAAGGCTTGACCGTACAACGGCCGAAACGTTGTGATAAATATGGCGACAAAGATGAGAACAATAGTCCAAATAATGTAAATAGTGTACATAATACCTCATCTCAGTAATATGGACAGATCAATCGACATCTTTCTTCATGAATCATGTTTCTTTTCATTGCCCTTTCTCTTCTGTAGAATTTTTTTCACTTCCCTTCATTCTCGGTAACTCTTGCGTATTAGTGGCTTTTTGCCTTGCTTTGACTGAAGTAATAAAAGCTATTAATAAAATAAAATGCTCATCTGTAATCTGGTTGAACAGGTTTCAATTTGAGACTTTGAAATAAATGTTTATTTTTAAGCCTTTCACCCCAAGCAAGGCGGAGGCGCCACTAGCACGCAAGGTGTTACCGAGAGTGAGATCAAGAGTAAAGTGGGTTGTTGAGGAAAGGATATAGAGAACAAGATCAAGGCATCAGAAGATGTCGATTGACATTACATTTGAGTATTTGAAGATTATAGCTATCAGGGAAGCAACAAAGAGGAAGGGAGTTCCACTGTCGGGAAGTGCAAGATAAGAAGCTGTTTCAGGAGAAGAGATGGTTAAATTTAACTGTTTCCACAGTGAAAGAGTGGGACCGAGATGCCAACCTAGTAGCACGCTTAAATTCATGCAGTTGGGGTACCAGTGAAAGTAGCACGTCAGAGTAGTTGGCATGAAAATATATGTAGAAAAGACAGAGGGAAGCAACACCACGTCTGTGAGAAAGTGACTGTAGACGAGATGCCAAATCAGGACCTATCACATTGCATATCCGTCTCTGGATTTTGTAGAGGACCTCGAGATGAACAGTGGCGGAACCAGTCCATATATGACAGAGGGATGCCGGATTAAGTCGGTGAGAAAGTGACTGGAGTTCAGGACCCAAGGCAGGACCGATCACATTGCAGACCCTGCTTTGTATTTTGTCGAGAACTTCGAGATAAATAGCGGGGACCCTAGACCGTATATGGCGACAGTATTCAATTCAAGGACGAATGGTTGATTTGTAGATTTGAAAGATGGACTCAGGCGAGAAAAACCTTCTGGCGCAACACAGAGAAACAAGTTTGTCCAGTTTATTTTCATATGAAAAAGAATGCGTCAATTTTTCATTCTTTCCGGTTGGCCTTGCGTTTTCCTGCTGCTAACTCTTAAAACTGTTTTTTTTTTGTTTTTTTAATTGGTATCACACCATGTAATTTTGTAAAGTAACTAAGACGTAAGGGGTTAGAGGGCGTGGAGGAATTAGGAACAGATATTAATAATGAGCGAAAAGAGGAAACAGCAATCAGGAGGACATAGATAGCGATTGACATTGGATTTAATTTTTTGCAGATTAATGTTAGCTGGAAATCATGGAGCTGGAAGAGAGTTCCACAAGTCAAAAGTGCGAGAAAAACAACTGTTAGTGTAGAATTTACGACTAAATCTCGCCAGCTCAACTGTAAATTGATGAGATCTTGTCACTAGTGCCAAGCTGGCGTCGAGATCTCATACGAACAATTACGATGAAAGTATTTATAGAAAAGGCACAGAGGGGCAACCTTACGGCGGTGTGAAAGTAACTGAAGCCGAGACGTCAGATCAGGACCAATAATATTGCAGATTCTTCTTTGGATCTTATCAAGAAGCTCAAGGTAAATAGCAGGGACACCGGACCATATATGGCAGCAATATTTTAAGCATGGACGAATAGTCGACTTATACATATGTAGGATAGATTATGGAAAGAAGAATTGTCTAACACGACACAGTGACGCAATCTTCTTTGCAGCTGACCGGGCAATGGTTTCAATATAGCCTTTGCACTTAATTTGAACAGAGTAAGATAGCCCGAGAAGGTGCAACGTGTCTCTCCCTTGGGGGTTAGCATCAGCGATGTAATAGCTGGTCACTCGTATTCGAGGATACCCGTCTATTAGGGTGGCTAGCCAATCCCTAT